CTGCTAGCATCAATTGTGGGGTCAGCACAAGTGAAGAATGGCTGTATGGGTAAGAAGCCAGATTCACACCAATATTTTGGGCCCTACAAATGCAGACATGTGCTATGTGACATTCACAAAACCTACTAAGCATGCCTGGTGCCCAGCTCTTATGGATTTTCTTGATGCTCTACAAATCCCATTGGGTACCTTCCTTGCCAGTCCTCATGCTACCTGCTGTCTATCAAGAGATCAGCTGCTCACTCTTCTCAGCCCATGATACCAGCCTCCACTGCATACTTGCTATTTTTTCGAATAAGAACCTTCTTGCTTTGGCCCATGTCCCTTAGGCAGACAAGGGGCTTTCCATAAACACCTACAACACTGGACCTGTTCTTTTCCTTTAAATCTCTCCTTTGGCATAACTCCCAGTCACACAGCTAGGCCAATGGTAGGAGGAGACAGCTGTTTACTATGGTGACCAATTTGTTGGTAATGTTTCTTGTTTCCTTCTCCTATTATGTAGAGTGAAAGCACATCTAACCATCTGGTACAGCCATTTTACAGGCATTCCCAGTGAAATGGGCATGACTGCATGCAGCAGATTTATTAGGTTTCTTTAAGAAAGCACCTTGAAGTCTCTGTGGGCAAATGTCTGGGAAAGATTAAATGACAGTGGCCAGATCTTTAGCTGGTGTAAATCAGCACAAGAGCATGGAAGTCCAAGACAATCTAACACCAACTGAGCTTCTTGTGCAGCGGCAGAAACATTTGGTAGCATGGACCATGTATTTCTACTAAGCAGGAAGGCAGAACTTGTGACTATTTTAATGGGGGAACGGTTAGACAGAGAACTGTGGGCCCTCTGAGCAGCTTGCTTTCAGTAAGGCAAGTATTTTGATTCCCTAGTTGCACTCCTATTTTGCCTTGAAAATGCAAAGACAGGAAAAAAGAGAGAGAGGGTCACATATTTATCAAATGACAGTAATTCCCCAATGATGATAAAAAAGCAGCTTGTCCGTCACTGGGCTCCTTTGGTGTTAGATTTTGAGATGCATTATCTTTGCAGAAAATAAAATGCAAATAAAAACTGAGGGGAAAGAGAGGCCCTGTAAACAACAGAAAGTAAATCTCACAGGGTGACAAACTTAACCAAAACAGAAAAAAAAAGTGGAGTGCCTGGTATTCTCTCGACAAGGAAGTCATTCACATGCCTCCAGCACAAAGCACAGGGGAGATGGATACGCTTTCAAAGTGACAGAGGAAACATCTGATTGCATTCATCCTTAGAAAGCTCTGAAATCACTTCTCCCCACTTTGTTTCCTTCCCAGATAGATGCCCCAAGTGCCAGAACCCATGGTCACAAAACCCTGACAGAACAGTAACTTGCTGTGTAGACTGTTTGTGAATGAATGAAAGTTTTTGGAGAGTATATTGTGAATTGTAACAAACAAGAAATTGCAAGTGGGTTGTACAGAACTGCTAACATGGCACCAGATCCAGATCCTTACCAGTATATTGTGAATTGTAACAAACAAGAAAGTGTAAATGGGTTGTACAGAACTGCTAACATGGCACCAGATCCAGATCCTTACCTGTCACAGGGTTTCAATCTAATTCAGTGGAATTGACCCTGTGACCAATTCTCTGCTCTCTCTGGGACAGAGAGAGAGGAAAAAAAAATCCAGGGAAAGAGAAATGCTAAGGCTTTGGCATCCTCGGTTAACACAGCACTTCAGCACGCCAGGTAGACTGGTATTCTACTGGCACTCTCTTAGATATTTGCAATGGATTCCTTTGAACTTATGTCAGTATAATCAGAGGGAAGGAATCATTTAAACCCAGTCATACCATATGCCACATAGGGAACAGGAGAATGTTTCTCCTTTTTCCCTAGGCCCAGATCCAACAAAGCACATTTTTAACTTAAAGCCCAGGAGCCATCCCACTGAACTCAAGGGGACCATACTCATATATTTAAAAGTTAAGCTTGTGCTTATGTGTTTGCTAGAGTGTGCAAACCCCTCTCTCTCTCTCCGCCTTCCCATTTTATCTTCTAAAAGGACCCATACACACAGGAAGCTGCAGGGAATTCAATTAATCTCTTTTGTGATTAATGAAGAGACAATTCTTCCTGCAGTCCTAGCAAAAATGACTCGCTTCCTTACTTTGATTTTCAGCTCTTTGGGGCATTGTATTGTTTTGCGCTTGTATAGCAACAAAAAAAGTAAAATTAATTTCTGGTGCAAAATTGTGCATCCAAGGTGCTCTGTGGATACAAGTAAGTGATTAAAACCAAGGTTTGATTAGCCAACCAACCCTGTCAATTCCAATCAACTTAAACTAGCAGTAATTGTAAGTCTTGAACACCCAGGTGAAAGGTTTTATTGGACTTAGGCAAGCGATTCCAACAGACATTCAGAACCAGCTCTAGACTTTTTAATATGCTCCACTCATTGTAAAAAGGTTATTCATCCTGGAGATTTTATCACTTGAGACCTGCTCCCCGAGGTTGTGCAACACAGTGCACATCCTACAGGTCTCTCTCATCTATTTCTTTCAGGGCATAAAGAAGACAAATGTATAGGATGAAAGGACAGGAAAGAGCCAAAAGAATACCTGTAAAATGAGACTTGTGCTAAAAGGTAAAAAGTCTTTTCTATTGTACTGACTCTGATAAGACAAAAATAAGACTTTTTTTTTTTTTAAGAAGTGTATGGCATGTGCCATGTTGATTTAGACTTGAGGTATGTCATGAACTCACTAATTGTGGTGCTGTGCAAGGCAAGAACTGCCAGGCTGCGGGCATCTATTTGCTTTCCCACATTGCACTATCATGATGACGATCAGCAGCTGTGGTAGGGTAGCATGTGTTGCGTCAGGTAAATTTTTCCCCTTTCCGCGTTATTTTTAGCTGCAAGCCACTTATGCCACATATCATATTCTGACAAGGTGTAATGTAACCAGACATGTCTTACAAACTCAGGGATAGAAATCAGGGTTTAAAAAAAAAAAAAAAAAAAAAAAGGCTAGCATAAATCACGAAAGCTTTTCGGGAGCCGAAATCTCATCAGCAGAACAGCAGTTCTCTCTATGATAGGGTCCAGTTTTGGCCAATACAGGCAAAGCAGCATAACCATTTTACAAATGAGTGCCTCATAATGCAGCAAAAAAATCAGCCCACAGATACACCCATTGGAGTGTATCCCATTGGAGCTCTAAGGAGCTCCTATCCCAATTCCTCTCATTTCAATCAGATAACGTTGGAATGAGTCCTACTCTTTTGTCACATCAGGTTTGCATCAACACATGTAATTCCACTGATGGACTGATGGCCATCTAAGTTTATACTGGTGAGGTGAGAGGAAAATCAAGTCCAATATCTTCTAAGACACAACTAGATTTACAAATCTGGGGGGAACACACTCATTTCTCTACAGGAACTGAGTTTCAAGGTCTGGCATGATGCTGGAGAGAGGCCTGCTTCCTCTGCAATAAAATTTGTACTAAAGGACCATTAATAACAACAAGGAAAACAAACATACAAAAATACTATTATAGTTTTTCAAAAAACAACGATAATTAGCTTATTTCAGAAATCCACAACCTTCTCATTCTTGAATTCAGCCCGTCTTTTCTTCTGACTATAGACACATTTTATGGGACACAAACTGGCCCAGCTCTGCTGACATCCACTGAAGCCAAATGGGAAAGCTTCATTAAAACCATTTTATACCCCACGGAAAATCAGACCTGTATCTCTATCCATCTATCAGTGGTGTTTCTGAGCCATGGCAGCCCTCACCATTTTATAAATACATCCAGAAATTAAGGCTCAGTTTGAGATACCCCTAGCGACCTCTGCTCCTCAGCCTCTCCTATCTTTGGCGCTTTGGAAATATATTTGGTGTAATTTAAAAAGCATCATCCCATTCATTGGACAAAATCCTGCATATTATGCAGATTCCTAGATGATAATACGTTAGCACACTTTAGTGACTGAGACCGATTTTAAATTACATAGCCCATTTCTGTACATTTAATATTTTGAGGCAAACACTGCCAATAAAGACTGAAAAAGTCCAAATCAAACAATAAGCTCCTCAGTAGCCTTTCCCCCCACCTACAAACAGTAAATCATTTCATGTTAGTAGTTTTAAGCCATAACAATGCAAATAAGGCAGTTTGTGCTGAAACTCGATTGCTATCGAGAACAATACTTCCGTGAAACTTAATTTGTAAAGAACCTGGATTGCCAAGAAGGCTTGCAATATAAAAATAGATAACAGTAAGTAATTTAGCAGCTTATTGGTAGTCCTGCATCTTCAATTTAACTGGAACTTTTTTTTTTTTCCTCAATGTGTGTCACCTAAGATAGGAAGCTATTTGCAGGAAATTGAAGTGTAAACTGAAGTGCTGTTGCAATACATCTCAGGAGTTCAACTATGGTATACTTTAATCTTTACTTTTCATTTGTTTTAACATTTATTACAGCAGGGTATGATCAGGCATTAGGAAGGCAACATTTAGTCTTTTCCAAGAACCTAAGAAAACCTGAGCAAAGAGCACTTCCACTGCAATAATCCCAAATAATACCTTTGGCAATTCTGAGATACACTGGAAATAATCACTCTCTGTTCACATACAATGTCACAAACAAAAAGAGCTTCAGCACGTCCTTATCGCTGGGAGATGGGTCACCGAGTCCTGGAAGCAGCACTACCACAACCTATTTTTATGATGCTTATCGGGCTCCCGATTTTCACAATGTAAATAAACATTTACACTGATGCAAAGTTAACAGGGATCATTTGAAGCTGCTGGATGATAGTAATTAAAACGCTGAGATCCAAGAACCAGAACTTACCCAGAATAGCTACCATGGAGCTGAGGATGGCATCCTCTTCCCACAAGATTTTGCTGTTCTCACTGAAGTAGGTGGTGTGACTTCTTTGGGAAGTGATGGCAGAGAGTATTCCTTCTTATCCTCCATCTTCAGAAAAAAAATTAAAACAGTGCTATTGAGAGCTTATGTGGTCTTATCCAGCTCTCTTCCATTAAAGCCTGTCAGTCAATCACACTTCTTGTGCTATCGATGTCAATTAGACGTTGACATGATTTTCTGTAAGAGAACTCAGTCTATTGGGAGAAAAAGTCTATGTATTGCTTCCCGATGATCAGGATCCAGTGTTTTGTACTGCATGCTCTTCCAAGCAAAAACTACAATTGAAATCCTGGTTAAAAAAAGGATCCTCTCAAGCTGGGATGGTTAAGATACATCAGCTTCTCCAACTCATGCCATGCAAGGGAATGATGCAACAGCCCAAATGACCACGTGACTGAGACAGGTGTCACCACAAGCCCACAGCAAGGCTCTGCCTTGTACTTCTGGATCTGTGCTGGGATGCATTAACTGCTCAGTCTCGGTTACATAAAGCAGATTGTTCATAACACCTAAGAATAAAATCAGAGAACTTTTTCACCCATCAATTCAAAATTCAAATGAATCACCACTAAAAAAGTGCAAAGTGTTTTAGACAGTTAATGCACCAAATAAACGCATCAACAACTGCTTATTAGCCTCAGTGCCATTTAAAATATAAGACAGATAAAGAACAGCAGGCTAAATGCTTCGGCAGTCTGATACATTCCAGCTCAGAACTAATTAGCCGGTGTCAAGATGCAACGAGAGTTTTTTCCTGCTAGGAATTATTAAAACAGTAGATCTTCTCGGCACGTCTAGATGTATTGAAAGAGCCATAGATATTCATAAAAAGACTTCTGAAATGTCATGTTTCTACATTCTTATTTACTAACTGCTTCCATAGCTATCAAAACTATTAATGCCAGTCTTCCCCTAAAACAGCAGGCCCCCATCCATAAGACCTTCTTTCTCCATCAAAGCAACACCAGCCTGCTTTTGCCACTGCAGAGAGGCAACCAGAAAGTCTGTATAGAATATAGCCATACTTTCTGCTAGTTGCCATGACCCTAATAAAAGCCAGTTGAACACTGTTAAGGCAGTGGAACCGACTACCCGGGGACATTGGGGAAACTGCTTCATTGGAAGTTTTCAAGGGAAGACTGGATAAGCATTGGTCAGAGAAGATTTAGGAGCAACACTCAGGCAGGGAGGTTGGGTCAGATAACTCCAGAGTAACTTTCAGACTTATTTTTCTCTTAATTGTTCCTTTCACTGAGCACAGTAGAAAACCCACTAGAGCTTTGATGAGGCCTATGACAGTCTTTGGATCAAAGACTCACTTGATGGCAGCCACTAACCACTTCCAGCATATCAGTGGTTGGTTCATGGCTTTCATTGAGTGATTTTATGTAAACACAATATTTGCCAGAAGTGCAGGAAATATACTTGTGGGTATGAGTCTGCCACTCTCCTATTTATAAAGGGTATTTGATGCACAGAGTACTGTGCATCAGATCTGGAATTCTCTTTTTACTTTCTGCTTCTATTCACTGAAAGTTAGGTACCATATTAAAAGGTACCACAAAAACAAACAAACAAACAAACAAAAACATTTTGTAGGGCCTTTTGCTGGTGCAGCAGCCTTACATTTATGTTAGATTACATTTATGTCCTCTGTAGGGTTTATAAAGCAATCACCAAAGATAATTAAAGCCATATTCCCCTCCAACTGATTTTAAAACTAGGTCATCATGTTGATTTAAATAACTGAAATTATGCCTGTGAACATTGAATGAAAATAATAACAGCAAGTTAGTAACAAGCAAAGACAATGTATTGCTTCATTCCTATCTCATTTGATATTTTTTATTCCCAGTTACAAAGAACATTTCTGAAGTTGTAATTGGAGTGTGTCCCCCCTCCCCTCTCTTTTATTTTAAGATTAAAAAGAATAAGAGGCTCTGGTCATAAAACCTGAACAATCAAAAGAATGCAGGATTCACACTTTGACTCAGTAAAAACCCATAATATGCATTTAATTCCTATTTATCCTGCAGAGGATACAAGAAATACACTCTACTTTCCCTCAGTCTGAAATCTCTCCTGGTGAGGTAACCAGCATTTAAAACACTAAATCTGCCTACAGTCCCAGAAGAAACTATCATACAAATCATAGAAATTAAGGGCTGCAAGGGACCTTGAAAGACCAAGTCCAGCCCCCTGCTCTGGGCAGGAATACGGCTGAGATCAACCGATCCCAGCAAGCCCAGTCTCCTCTTGAAGACTTGCATGGCTGGGGATGGCACCACCTCCGTGGGTAGTCTACTCCAGATTCTGGTCACTCGTACCACAAATTAGTTTTTCCTTGCTGTCAAGGGATGGGGTCCTTAAGGATGGACGTGTTCTCCTAAGGCCCCTTGACCATGCCAATTTGGCCAGATGGGTACCCTCAGCTCTCTCTCGCCACACCTTTGATGAGAAATATGAAAATAGGGAGCCTGCCTTTAAGTCCTCTGGGACACGGTCTTACTGAACCCTGTGGGTTCCTGGACCCCTTGTTTCACAATGGGCGTTTCGGGGGCACCCTAGCCTTATGGGCTGTACGCGTGGATCCAACCACCCCTTTATCACGCCCCAAGCCTCACAGATGGCACTGGCATTGTCTTGCCTTGGCCTCATTATAATTTGGCCCCTTGCCCTCACTGGGCTCTCCGCAGCCCTGTCTCTGCGCCCTCTCTGGCGCCAGGGTCTCTACTCTGTAGTGGGCCCCAATAAGGCCTCCTACCTTCCCTGAGTAGCCTCACCCAAACCACCAGCCTTATAAAAAATTGAATAAAACATAAGCCCCTGGGCTATAACTTAACATAGGCTACCGACGGTGTGCTCTGCCCCTTTCCATTGCCCGGAGCAGAGGTGAGTCAGGCCTTTTCCCCTTCTCACCTCAGAGGGCTCCTTCCCCCTTAGCCATCGGCAGAGACCTGCCTCCCTTCATGTCAGCCTGAGGTTATGTGGGCCCACAGCCCTGCCCCTCCTGCCAGCTGACCAGGTACAGGTGGGGACTAATTCCTGCCTTAGCCGGTTGCCATGGCAACCTGCCCCTGGGCTCCTGCCTGGCTCTTTGGGCTCTCCCCAGGCAGGTCCTGCTCTTCTAGGAGCAGGCACCTGAGTGCCCTGTCACACTCGCATCCAACCTGAAACCACCATCTACCAGTTTATGGCCATTGCTCCTTGTCCTCTCTGGGGGTACCCTGCTGATCAGTTTTTCTCCCAGCTCACCTCTTACATACTTATAATCAGCCACCAAGTCCCTCCTCCTTCAGTCTTCGCTTCCCCAGGCTGAACAGTCCCAGAGCCAAAGGCATAGTTGCATTACAGCTACTATAATGCATAAGAGGCAGTGAGGTATACAGCATGAAACAAATTTCAGTCTTCTGGGATGTATTTTCTGACTCTGCCAATGACTCTCATTATGACCGACTCTCGCTCACCAAACTGCGGTACCCTGCCCCCCTGGGCCATGATGGTGCCCTTCACTCCTCACCCTCAGCTCCGCATTCTCTGTCCTTGCTGGTGCCCGTCACTCCTGACAGCCATCAGAGGGCTTAAAAAGAGTGGGAACGTGACCGGGGAAACCCAGATATATGGTAACCCTATCTTGGTGGCACATACACACTTGAGCAAAAGCATTAGACAGACAGACAGATTAAGTCATTTACGATATTAGAATTGATGTTAACAGAAGCAATAGTGCTAGGTTTGTTACAAACAGGGAATTAAATGATGCTCTTTGCTTAGAATCTGTGCACAAGACAAGAGACAACAGGAAGATATAGATGGGAGAATAAAAGGCAACACCGAGACCATATTGGACAGCACAATAGACAGCACAGTCCAAACACAAGATGCCTAAATCGTTATCAAGCTGGTTGTAGGCACTGCAGCAAAATAATTATTAATTATAACTCTGGATACTCATGGGCAACCAAAACACTTCTCCTTGTCCTTACAACATTAGATAAATCACTCCTCAGGTTTAAACTTCTCTGACCTCCTAAAAACAAAGTAAACTTCCATCATTGGTTAGTAGGAAAAAAAAGTAACCCAAGAACCACCATTAGACTGGTTACCATTGTGAAACTCTTGGAACTTATGCTATATCCAAATATAGGGCTTTTGGGGGGAAAGGTATATACCTCCATGAAAGAAAATCTGTTCAATAACAGAAGCACATTAAATGAGTGAGGATTCTTATGCTTGTTAAACCTGGAGATTTATCTGAGTTTTCTCAAGAAGAGCCAATTATGCACAAATAAAGTATGGATGCTTCCAGTCACATCCAGCATCTAGTTATCTGTCATAGCCAAGGAAGCACATTCAGATCAACACATCTTCTGCTCCCCTAAAATGCAAATCAGGCAATTGCTTCTGTTCCAGCCGTCGAGCCATTTAATAGACCTTTACATGATCTTCACATAAAACAACAATTGCTCTGTTTGCCAACAACAGTGACAGTGCCACCAGGTTTGAACAGGGAACATAAGTGTTGAATTGAGATCCCTCAGGACTTTTTCACCATGAGCACCAATTCTAGTCTAGTGTGACACATGCCATTGCCTTGTGCAGTGTTTCAAGGAAAGCACTGACTTTCTGTGGGGAAGAAGAGCTATTGTTTTTTCCTGTTGGTTTTCTATTAGTAGCAAGTTATACTTGCTTCTGTTCCATTCAAAGACGTTAAGGAAATAATTAATTGGAACATGCTTTGCTCACTTGATTGTCCATCTCCGTAGGCCATGTTTAAAGGTTGACTGTCAAGTGGCACAAAATTTAAGGATTTGTATTAAGATTTGTAAAAGATTATTTACATAATCCATTCCTTGGAGTGGACACAGAGAGACTACTTCAGTGATTATAAAAAAGCACAGTTTCACTGAAGTTGGGGTGAGCGGTAGGGGATAGGGCTGACTTATAACATCTGAGGATCTGGCCCTTGTTTGAGGAGGAGCCAGGATGCTACAAAAGCTTACAAGTAATAATCAACTTATTTCAACCTGCAAACCCCCAATATAATCTTCCTTCTTTGTTCCCAACAAATAACTTCAAATTCTGTTTTTATCTTTTCCAACCTGTGTTTCTTTCTTTGGTGGTGGTGAGCAGGGGGGAGATAGGGGAAGGGAAGGTATGTCTTTATACATACATAGAAACAAATATATGAATAGTCTTATATCAGCACATGTGGGGAACAGGCTGTTTTCCCCAATGTATGCCATATGTTCAGCAGAGTCCTCGTCAACCCACTTATATTCAACAGATGTGAGAATCAAGGTCTCTGCTCTCGTTCAAATCAGCAGGATCTGGTGCTGTCACAATGGCTTTCCAGGGTTGCAAGATGGTGAGGTCAGAGACTCAAGAGACTTGAATTATACTCCTGGATGTACACTGATTTGTTGGGCAACCTGCAGCTAGACCACCCTGTCTTGAAAAAGTATGTGCAAAACACTAACTTTGTTGGTAAAGCACTATCATGGATAGA